AAGATCTTCAACAAAATAACTGGCCTGTAACCTTTGGAAGTGTCCAGGTCCTGAGAGACAAGGAGAGACTAAAGAACTGTTCTAGATAAAAGGAGGTTAACAACCCATGCTAGTGAATGTGAAGCCTGAGTCTGCAGTGGATTGCCTTTTTTTTTTTTTTAAGATTTTATTTATTTATTTGACAGAGACACAGGGAGAGAAGGAACCACAAGCAGGGGGAGTGGGAGAGGGAGAAGCAGGCTTCCCGCTGAGCAGGGAGCCCAATGCGGGGCTTGATCCCGGGACCCTGGGATCATGACCTGAGCTGAAGGCAGACTCTTAACAACTGAACCACCCAGGCGCCCCTGCAGTGGATTGCTTTAAAAATGTGATCAAACACTTAGCAAAACATTGAATGGGGTCTGAGAATTAGATGATAGTGAATCAGTGTTCATTTCTTGATGTGGGTGCTTGTTTTGTGGTGAGTGCCATTGTTTCTGTGAAGTACTGGAGTATTTGAAGGTGGTGAGCCCTGTATCAATAGCCTGCTTTCTGATAGTTGCAGGTCTTTGTGCTGCACCTTCAACTTCTCTGTGAATTTGAGGGGGGAAAAGTGTGAAGAATTTGGAGAAAGTGGCACTTCATCCTGCCTGGGATGATGATTGAGCCATGGTCAAGGGGAAAGAAAGATGAATGAATTGGGTCTTGGAAAATGGGGATGACTATTTAGCCTTTTTTTTTTTTAAAGATTTTATTTATTTTGACAAAGAACAAGAGAGAGAGAAAGCACAAGGAGGGGAACATCAGGCAGAGGGAGAAGCACGCTCCCCACTGAGTTTATAGGCATTCCTTCTCTTATAGACAGCTTCAGAACCAGGGGTCCAGTGTGCAGGTCATGTGCTACCTGTTCTAAGCTTCAGTCCTATCTGGAGAGATGTAGGTAATTGTAAGATTGCACATTCTGGAAAAGGTACCAGGTTTTTTGGTTTTTGTTGGAGATGCTATCAGATTAGATTTGAGAGATGTTGGGGATGTCTGTATGTCCTTGAGCAGGCTCTAATCCCATTTGGGTTGGGATCTCTTGTTCTGGGATGGGAAACCACAAAGACAGACCAATTGAGCTCATGTCTTAAAAGTTCAGCCTTGCAGATTCTTTCCTATCATCCTATGATCGAGTGTTTTTCTTCCACTGCCTTCAGATTTTTAAAGAGATCACTCTATCCATCCCTGGCATCTTAGAGTATTTGTTTCAGGGTCTCTGGAGAAGAGACCATAGGGTTCTGTTTATTTTCTGCAAGAGTAATTTATATGTAATATCAATTTTCAGGATATTGGCCTAAATTGCAGTTCTAAAATTCTTTCCCTTTCCCTAACAGGTTCACTGAGATTTAAACAACAGATAGATGATTTGTTGTAATATAAAATTCTGTAGTAGTTTCTTTCCTTACAAATGCAATTCTCTTTGCAACTTTGAACTTTTTTCTCTTTTATTTGGAGTACAATCTTCATGACTAAAACATTGGCAGCGCTAACTCTTCATTATGTTAGCCTGTTGTGGTGTTTTTATTTTCCCAAGAGGAGTATCTGCAAATACATTTATCTCTCGTCTTTTGTTGTCTCAGTGTTTTCTTCATCGTGTTGACTTTAAAAAAAAAATTATTGGATGGCTGCTGCTTATCACAGAGCTGATACCAAGATAATTTTAAGTGATTTGTCCAGAACTACATGTTTTGACGTTGAAAGATTCCAGATCAGTTTCCGGATATCTCAAGCCCCAGACAATTCCCGTGTTTCTTACATTCTAATGAGCCCCCAAAGAATTGTGGGTCTAGCAGTGACAGATTTGCAGAGACAGTCTAATTTGTGGTTGGGAATCTTTTTAAAAATGAACTTTGAGGTATAAAACATTACAATATTACCTAATATGATACAATAGCATGCTATACAATATAAATAATGTAATAAAATGCACCAATTTTAAGTATACATTTTGTTGAGTTTTGATGAATTTATACATTTTATAACTACCACCATAATCAACATTTCCTTTATTCCAAAAAGTTCCCTTGTGTTCTTTCACGGTCAATTCCCTAACAATTCTGGCAACCACTGATCTGTTTTCTTGCTCTATAGATTAAATTAGCATTTTCTAGAGTTTCATATAAATAGGATTGTACTGAATGTACGCTATTCTGTCTGAATTCTGTGATTCAGTATGTTAAGATTCAGCCATGTTTTCTTTGTATTGGTAATCTGTTCCTTTTATTGCTTGAGTATTTCATTATATGGATCTACCCTAAACATTTGAGTTTCTAGCTTTTGGCTTCTAGGGATGAAGTTGCTAAGGACATTCCATGAACATGTCTGTACACAGATGTGGACAGTGTGTGTACTCATTTTAATTCTTGTGCAAATACTTAGGAAAATCATTGAGTCATGAGATTAGTATGTATTTACCTTTCTAAAAACTTGTCAAAATGTTGTACAAATTGGTTATACCATTCTGCATCACCATCCCCAATGCTTAGGGGTTCCAGTTCCTTTACTTCCTTGCCAATATTAGGTGTTAAACTTTTCATTTTAGCCATGTTGAGTGGGTGTGTAGTGGTATCTCATAGTTTTATTGTTCATTTCTCTGATGGCTGATATGATATTGAACATCTTCCATGTGCTTTTCAACCATTTGTATATCTTTTGTGAAATGTCCAAATATTTTTCCAACTTAAAAAGTGTCTTAGTATTGAGTTGTAAGAATTCTGTGTATATTCTGAATACAAGCTTAGACATATCTACTGTGAATATTTTCTCCCAATCTGTGGCTTTCCTCATTTTTCTAACAATATCTTTTGAAGAAAAGAGGCTTTAGTTTTGATGAAGTTAGATTTATGACTTTTCTTATGGTTTATGCTTTTTGTTTTGTATCTAAGAACTCTTGATCCTTCCAGGGTTGTGAAGATTTTATCAGTTTTGTCCGGAATTTATAGTTTCAGCTTTTATATGTAGGTCTTCGATGCATTTTGAATGATTTTCTGTGTATGGCATGAGGTAAGGTTTGGGGTTTATTTTTTTTTCCCATACAGATACCCAGTTGTGGCAACATTTGTTGAAAATACTATCATTGAGAAATCTTAGAACTTTATAAAAAATCAATTGACTATATATGTGTGGATCATTTTTGGACTGTTTTTTTTCCATTGAACTATGTCTAACATGAATACCATGCCACCTTGATTACTGTAGTCTCCAAATGAAGTAGTACAAGTCCTTTACTTTGTGCTTCCTTTGAAATTGTTTTGGCATTCTTGGTTCTTTGCATTTCCGTCTAATTTTGGATTAGGAATGTTTATTATCCTGGCTAGAGGATTTTAGCATCCTAATCTTATGTTGAATCATTATGAATCCAGAAACTGGACAGACTTGAGACCTTGTTTAAGGAAGAATTTCACTGAATGTGATGAATAGCTCTGGACCTAAAATGCTGATCCCAATAGACTGGAATAATGATGTGGTCACTGAAGAAGTTGGAAAAATAGAGATGGAGAGCTTTTTCTGAATATCAGAAGGGTAGATGTTTCATTTGTTTTTGAAATTAAAAATTATGCTTGCAAGACCCACAAGTAGAAAAGTCCAGGGGAGGTTGTAGACTTGGGGGGCGGGGGAGACTGATAGGTTTGGGAGCAATCAACACAGAAATAATAGAAGAACATTGTGGAACAGTGTGGAGAGAAAAGCAGGGGCCACGTATTAAGCATAGACTAGCATTTACAATTACGATGTGGATGAAGTGAGCCGATTCATAGAGGATGATAACCACCTGAGCACTGAGAAGAGAGAGAGAGAGAGCTAGCATAGTGTTAAGGTCACAGAAGGTTTCCAGGAGGCAGAGTGTTTAGAAATGTCAAAAGAGGAAAAAGCAAAGTCTGACAGTTTTAGCCATGGAGACTCTGGTGACATTTGAGAGAACAGTTTGATGAAAGTGAACATGATAAAGTCAAATTTCGGGGAATTGGGGAGGGTGGGAGAGGAAGTCTGTTTCAGTAAAGTATGAAAATGAAAAGAGGGAGAACAATGGAATGGTCACTGTAGAGACCCACAGAAATTAGCTGCATGCTTTCTGCATAGGATAGGTGTTCCTTTCGATAAAGGGGACTAGTGAACTATTTCTCAATATTATATCAAATCCAGTGTGCACCCAGATTTTAAAAAACTCCTTCCTCCTCTTGTCTCAACTCTGGTGCCTACATTATCTTATCCATGCCTTGACTTATTCTAACACTTTCCTGTTGCAGTGGAGGCAGGGCAATGTCTTCCCATCACAATTCTCTCTTCCTGACTCCACCTCTTAAAAGGATGACTGGAGTCAGCAAAAGAGATCTCTTCAGTGACACTTGAGTAAACAATGGAGTGCTCACAGCAGAAGGTCTGCTTTGAGGGTCTGATGACCTGTTTGGACCATATTACGTCTCTGAAATAAGGTTTCTAGATTCAGAACTCAACTGAATGAAATACCATATAAAAGGCCTTGGTGACTGTCACCACATCCAGTGACCACTTCTCAAAGTTCTTCTTTCTAGACTCCTCCATTCTGCCATATCATTCCCACTGAGACACTCCTCTCTTGTTTTTTTTGACCTGCACTTCACCTTGTTAACAGAGTTTCTTCTTAGTGCTGGATGTCATTATCGGCGGGGACACAGAGCAGGACTTCCTCCTCGCGATTTGCTTCCGCTTACGTCAGTGTGATGCGTGTGAGGTAAGCACTTATTCAGAAGTCTTGTCCATGCACAGGAAATGGTTTGCTCCACAGTGATAATGTACACATGCGTGAGCCCCAAGGAAGAGCTGGTAGTTCTCTCTTCACGCGCAAGGACCCTGTGCCTGGGCTCGCTGGTCCTAAGGGAAGGAATTGGGCTCACTCTCTCACTTCAGCTGGCATTGTCCCTTCTTGTACACTCCAGTTGCTGATGGGAATGTTCTCCTTGACGACTTCCTTTATTGCTTTCAGACACTGATCTAGCAGAATGCAGAGAAAGAACTTCACAGAAGTGACAGAATTCATCTTTCTGGGATTCTCTATCTTTGGAAAGCACCAGATAATGCTCTTTGTGGTTTTCCTTACCATCTACATTTTAACTCTAACTGGTAATGTCGTCATCGTGACCATCAGCCATATTGACCATCATCTCCACACACTCATGTACTTCTTCCTGGGCATGCTGGCTAGTTCTGAGACTGTGCACACACTGGTCAGTGTCCCACAAATGCTTTCTGGTCTCCTTTTCCCTAACCAGCCCATCTCCTTGTCAGGCTGTGCAACTCAGATGTTCTTTTTTGTCATCTTGGCCACTAATAATTGCTTCTTGCTCACAGCAATGGGCTATGACTGCTTTGTGGCCGCCTGCAACCCCCTGAGGTACACAGTCCTCATGAGCAAAGGAGTGTGTGCTACGTTGGTATGTGGGTCCTTTGGCACTGGCCTGGTTATGGCAGTTCTCCATGTGGCAGCCATGTTCAGTTTGCCCTTCTGTGGCACAGTGGTGGGGCACTTCTTCTGTGACATTTACCCAGTCATGAAACTCTCTTGTACTGATACCACAGATGATCAATTATGGTGTTAGTTCATTTGTGATCCTGGTCTCTCTGGGCTTGATCTTCATCTCCTATGTCTTCATCGTCTCCACCATTCTCAGGATTGCCTCTGTTGAGGGCCGGAAGAAGGCTTTCGCCACCTGTGCCTCCCACCTTACAGTGGTCATTGTCCACTACGGCTGTGCCTCCATTGCCTACCTCAAGCCCAAGTCCGAGGATTCTGCAGAACAAGACCGTCTCTCAGTGAGTGATGTACACCATCATCTCTCCATTGCTGAACCCTGTTGTCTACAGCATGAGGAACAAGGAGGTCACGGATGCCCTACGCAGAGCTGTGGGCAAAAAACTTTTCTCAACAGATTGAATCACTTTGTCAGGAGACTTTTAGCCCAGTGTAATGTATGTCTGCTCACAGACATGCCACAATACACAAGTTCATTAAATACAGTGCTTCTTGAGAATAAGGTCAAAGAGTAGAAACACTTTCCTTTTTCATACTCTAGGGACAAGGTAGAAAGCAGGTTTATGCTCTAGTGAATATTGTTCCTTAGATACGGGAATCCTTCCAAGCCAGATTAGGACTACTTGTTTATTTGCCTCAGGATTTTGGTATGGGGACCTCTTGCCCCCAACTTCACCTGGCTCCTCTCAGTCAAGTCCTTGACCTAGTCTGGTAAGGAGATGTGAAGAGGAGGCTGTTGGAACAGATGTGGACAGAGTCTTAGGAAAACAAGCAGCAGAGACAGCCCGAGGATGGCTTTCATCCTTAGGAGTTAAATTACTTGCCCTGTAGCGATCCTTTCAGAAAGGGTTTCCTTAATTCTGGCTGACTGAAAACTGAAAAGCTTCAGCAAACCTCACTCCTCTATTACCCAGCCATGTGAGCTCCTCCAGTAGTATTCATTTCTATGTGTATCCCTCCTCCTGTGCAGTCAAGGCAAAAGCCCTTGTTTCCTGGAGGCTAGGCAGGGAGCGGATGTGCTGGTGGCATTTCCATCACTGTACTTTTATCCAGATACATTTTTCATAAAGATGGTTTTCCAACCTATGGAAGTTTTTGGTTTTTAATTGATCTGTAGCAGCTGCAGTGGATTTGAGGTTAGTAGTCAGGTATTGGCTCTACTGATTCTAAAGTCTGAAGCAGATGCCATTAAACTCCCTTCTCTCAGTAAACAGTTAAAACGTCATACTTCTCATGTGTTTATATCAAAATAAACACAACCATGCTACATTCTTGTATACCCTTAATGAGGAAGTTGTTGGAATATTTTTATAGACCTTCCCATCGGAATTTCTCTCTACTGAGACTGAGCTGGAAGATACTAAGACAGACCTGGAAACATATGTTTTCATACAACCCTGCTCCTCAGTGTTATTCCATCCCCACGTCAGCTCCTGTCTCTTAGTTCCTACCTGTGTTTTTCTGGTCTGTAGCACAGAAATGACACTGAAGCCTCTTCTAGGGGAGCTGTAATTTTCTTCTGCTCTGCAGATCCCTCTGTGAGGAGGTCACTAGCTGAAGGCTGAGGGGGTCTTTGTCCAGCGTCCCCTGTGGCAGGCTCTCACAGTCGGGTGCTATAATAGCTGATGGCAGCTGATTCCCAGCACCTGCTCTCCCTCCGGAAGAGGAGTCCTAGTCTGTAAGGAGTGCTTGGATAGACCTCAGAGGGCTTTTGAACTTTCTGACGTTATTACACCATGAGTACAAAGGGAAATGTGCCTTTTCCTTCATATTCTTACAGAAAATTTTCTCTGGTGTAACCATTTCCTCCCTGAAATCCTGGCAGAAATGAGACAAGATCCAACTTCCCTCTTTTATAGGTCATTTGCTTCCACAATTTCCTTAAACTCTCCCAAAGAAGCACTCTTTGAACCTGTCCATTTTTGCCCATGTTGGTTCTGCTACTTTTTCATTAAGTTGGGGAAACGGAGGGGGTCAGAGCTGCTTAGCTGGGAGGCTGAGGGAAGAGGGTGGTGGATGGCTATTACAAGGCACATGTGGTCGTCTTTACTGAATTTTCTTGCCTTCTCCCATCCCTTCCCCCCAAATCCCTAAGTTTTTAAACATCAGTCCTGCCACTCCTCTCTTACCTCACGGACAGGTGAACAGTCCTCTCCTCCTACTTTGCATGATTTCAGGTTCAGGGGAAGAAGCCTCTCCTACAAGGGATATGCAGCAAACAGTACAAGGGTGCATAAGGCTGTGTGGCCGTAGGGCCTCCCAGTAGGAGGAATCAAGAATAGCAACTCCTTTTATTGCAGGTTCCTATAATTGCAACACTTAGCCTCCATGTTAGCCAGCCATCTCTCTTCATCATCTTTATCATCATTCTGCACAATCTCTCTACTCCTTTATCTTGCATGCTGCAAATACCTCTATTCTTTCAGTAGTTTTTTTTTTTTGTTCAGCTCTTTTGTTCATCAGAAAAATACCCATAACTTATTAAATCTATATTTTTCAAGCACTGCGTCAAGCCATTGACTAGTTCCAGGTTTACGACCATGGGGAATGCAGGGACTGTGTTTCATGTTATTCACACAGTTCAGTGGGGAAGACAAAATAGCATAAAGTGCAAAAACTTTCAGCACATGCCCAGGATTCTTGTTTGGGGTCAGGGGTGTTGTGCACAAAGAACTGATCAGATCTAGTAAGGTCAGGAAAGAATTCATAGATGTTTAACTTTTTGTGGCATTGGGTCAGCTGAGGTCTAGGAGGCGGTCAAGGGAAGGGGAGGAGGAGCCCGAGCAGAGAGATACAGCCTGTGAAAGCTGCAAGTATCAGGACAGTGGGTATTTTATTCATCTCTGTATGCCCACTGCCATGTCAGATATTAGCCTGGCAAATAGTAGGTTCTTCATATATCTTTGGAGAGATGACTGTGTGAACACCTATTAAATACAAGGTCCTATCTGGGGATTTGCAGGTTTTTTGGACAGGTCTATCATAGTACCTCTGTCTGCCTTACAGACTACCCTCCCCTAAAGTAAACCAACAGAGAAAAGAACAGCAAAGCTACTTGAAATTATTTTTCCCCATTGTGGGATTGCCTACAAGCAGTTCTCACTTACTTTTGACATTGATATATTTTGTTAGTCACTTAAAACTGGACTAGAGAAAAATCCTCCTTTGGAAGGAAATTGGATTAGGACTAGGTTTAGTGTGTTTTAGCTATAACCATGTTAATAACAGACTTAAAAGGGATTGAGAGCTTGACATATAAAACCAGGAGTTAAGGTATCTTAAAACTTTTTAGAAAAAAAATGAAACCAACTATTATGGGTCTTCAAACTTCAGAAATAAAATTTTCAGTGTTGACTTTGTTGATTCTCTAGAGAAAAACTGGTTTCACCTGAGATCCTTCCAGATTCCCTACTTACAATGCATGGTGGATTAGAGGAGAAAATAGTTGCAGTTCTCCCAAGAGAAAGTACAACAAATACTTTCTTAATGAGTACAAATGTCTCAGGGAGGAGAGAGAGGTGGAGGGTCAGCAGGAGAGAAAATGAAGCCAAAAGGCGACCAGGGAGTATGTGGCACACTTTGCTTTAACTTGTACTAAGACATATTTAAAAGGTGCAAGATTCCAAATCAGTTTTGTACCCTGGCTGAAGTGTGTCTATGTGTGTGTATGTGCGATCATGTGTGTATGAGCATGCACATATGTGTTTTTATGGGGAGAGAGAACATTTGGGAGTTTTAGATGTGATGAGTGCCAGGATAAGCAGTAATGCCTTATTTGTATTATGTAATAACTATCCCTAATATTTATGTAGTTCTTTACAGTTCACAAAGGTCTTTCCCATTCGTGACCTCGTTCAAGTTTCCCAGCACTCCTGTAAGGCTAATAATTTACTTGCAACCCATTTTGATAAAGATTAGTGCTATCCAAGAATACCATGGAACCACAGAGAAGAAAATGGCATAACCTAGTTGGTGACCTTCACCTGTAATGTCGTTTGTATGGTAGGAACAGGTCACAGTGAATGAATTTGGTGAGTCCAAGTACTGCTCTAGGGAGACTTCCCAACATTGTGTCTACTCAGATATAGTAAGTGCACCACGATTAATGAATCCAAAATTGTAATGGATCATCCGCCATGTCTAGTATACAATTACAAAATGCTCAACATGGGAACAAAAAGAAAAATATGACCCAAGTCAACAGAAAAGCAAACTATATAAACTTAAGATGGCCCAAATTAGTGGTCAGGGACCTAAAAACAGCTAGCGTATATGGGTTCAATGACGTAAAGGAAAATATGGTCATAATGAAGAAACCTATGTGGGATGTTGGTCAAGAAATTAGTTGTAATAAGGGAGAAATTGAATTCATAGGAGTGAAAATGAAAATATTTGAAATGAAATATTGGCTAATTTGCACAATAGCATATTGGAGTTGGTAGAAGAGTCGGCTAAATTGAAGATGGATCAACAGAAATTCTAGAATATGAGGAAGACAAAAAAATGAACAAAATGAGGTTTTAGTGATTCATGCAACAATATAAGAAGTCTAATGTCCATGTAACTGGAGCCTCAAAAAGAGAGTAGAATGTGCCAAATACCTGAAGAACTATCGGCCAACAATTTCCCAAATTAAAGAGAAATAGAAGCTTTTACAGATCCAAGAATCTCCATGAATCCCAAGCAGGATAAATGAAAAGAATATCAAACCTATGTATTTCAGAGTCAAATCTTTGAAACCAAAGATATGATGAGATTGAAACCGAAGAGAAAGGAAAATCTTTGAAAGTCATCATTAAAGTAAACTTATTACATATCAGGGAATAACAATAACTTCTTTGTTTTTAAATTTTATTATGTTAGTCACCATACAGTACATCATTAGTTTTTGATGTGGTGATCCACGATCCATTGTTTTCATATAGTACCCAGTGCTCCCTGCAGTATGTGCCCTCCTTAATAC